GGCTTGTCCCATATTCTCAGACGGCTCGGCTTTCTCGCAGGACGGAACGGGATGCCTCCAACTGGTCCACGGAGCGGCTGAAAACTCTCCTCCTGCCTGTCAGGGTGGAGGGCGAGGAAGGGGCTTGTGAGGTGACGGAAGTGAGCAAACTGGATGGAGAGGCCTCCATTAACAACCGCAAAGGGAAACTTATCTTCTTCTATGAGTGGGCAATCAAGCTGGCGTGGACTGGTGAGTGATGTTCTTCCCTACTGTTTCAAGGCCAAATTTAAGTACAAGAGTAAGGATATTATTATTTGCCTTCTTTGGGAAGTAATAATAAAGGGAAGTATTGTATTGTGATACAATCGAAGTTTGCTTTTACAACAACCAGAGTAAGAAAAGTTGATCAGAACGACATAATTGTAATTGCAGGCACCTCAAAGACAGGAGTGAAATACAAAGGTTATGTGGAGATTCCTAATCTCTCAGATGAAAATGACATTGATGAAGTTGAGGTAAGCATAGCTAAAGGCTAATACTGCTGGTTGCATGGCTGCAATAACAGGAATCCCCACAGCATTAATATTTCTTTCCCTGTTGCTTTTTTTAGAATGCTTGTGTAGAGCCTTTTCAGTGTTAAAGACTGCTTAAGTTAATAGAATCATAGAGTGGTTTGGGTTGGTACTGAGGATTTGTCCTTCTTGTTTAGATCCATGTCAGCCTTGCTAAAGATGAGCCTGACACTAACTTGAAGACCCTGATGAAGCAAGAAGGTGCAAAAAAAATTAGAGATGCAATGAAAACTTACATCAGCACTCTCAAAACAGGTATGGACCTGAGAGGGAGAAGTGTTACGGGAACGCATATGGGCTAATGCTAAAAAAGAGATGCAGGTAACGAGAGGAGTGAATATTAGTTCTTCACCCCATCTGAACAAGAAGCTGTCAGAGCAACAACAGTAACTTTTCTGTCTCTTGAAAATGGTTAGCATTTGGCCAGAAGCACTTCTGTCTCTAGGTGTTGTAGCACAGCCCAGAAAGATTGTGTTTAAGTGATAACCCACTAATAAACAGCATTTTTGAATTAATGTTTTAAAACTGAGAATGTCCTTCACATGCTGAAGCTTAGCTATAGAGAAAATAAAGCCAGGGAAATGTGTTTGCTACCCTAGTGACACAGAGTATCAGTCACTGCATGTGGCACAATCTGGCCCTTAGTTTGCTTACTCCCTCGGAAGGTGATATCTTCTCTCTAGTTTGTTGTTTTTTCTCTTTTGCCACACTAATAACGGCATCTCTTGGTATTTGGATTTGAGAATAACTGACAACTGGGAATAGCTCTGCAGGTTTTGTTGGTGTCACTGAATGAGCTGTGTCAGCATCTGGATCAAAATTACTTTTTTTAGAAGATAAATCTGATTCCAGCAATTGGAGTTAAATCTGTGTGCTTTGGTTGAGTTCGGCTTTGCTCTCTAGTGCAGGCTGGGAATGCTACAGTTGCTTTTTATGTCCGTTTACCTGTCTTACACTACATGTGCTATATATTTCAAGTTTTGCTGAGTACAAATCACCACTGGTTACTGTTTTTCCAGGATCAGATTTCTGTACCCTTGTGTTTGTTCAGGCTTTAGTATTCAGGGTGGGAGATGCAGTCACCCAGTAGAAGATGAGAATACTTTTGCAGGAAGAACTGTATGATCTTGTGGGCTGGCATAAATAAGAATAGGTGGGAACGAAGTATTGCGGGATACAGGATTATACACATATAATAAAATTCTGCTATATAATGGAATTTTGCCAGTTTGAACAGATGAAGAGGAAGGAGAAAGAGCAAACTGTTTTATAATTGGTAAAGGCAGAAGCGATAGAGCTGGAGGAAAAGCAAACATGATGCTGAAAGAGATAGAAGCTTCTGGTGGAGTTATTAAAGTGCTGGTGCTGCCAGACAGGGCACTGGTGAGCCCTCCCATGGGTGTCTGCGCGTAGTCCTGGTGTCAAAAAAAAATCGAAGATGGAGTTAGAAGTAACTTTATTCTGTACTACAATGATATGAGAAATGGAGAGCCAGTTTGGTTTGGTTTGTCTAGACCAGCAAGATAAAAGTATCTGAGATGTGATTGCTGTTTATATTAGAGAGTGAGAGAGAAAGCAAGTTACGTAAGTGTAAGGCTAACATTAATATGAGAACAACATGTGAAAGATAGCGATCAGTATGTCTAGGCTAGGAAGAGGAGGCAAGTTCCTAACTGTTAGTGTAGGCAGGTTCTGATATGGCCATCAGTGGAGAGCAGTGAAGGCAAGAAGAATTAATTGCTTGTAAAAAGAGGTCCATTTACTTTTTTAAAAACCCGTTTCAAGTTGTGGGTGCTAGCAAGAGCAAGGGAAAAACCAGGAAGCTCTGTTTAATTGTGTATTTCAAAGAATAGTTAAAATGTTTACTTGATCTTTTATTAGTTTCATGGGTGTGTTCCTGTCTTTCCAGAATTCACCCAGGGCATGATTTTGCCCACAGTGAATGGTGAACATATGGAAACAACACCTCAGGTGGCTCCTAAAGCAGAAGACCGCAAGGTAAATAAAACCATGCAAACATGCTTTTGCATCTGTGAACATGGTACTAGATTCTGCGGCTTACAGGCGCAAACTATGCTGTTTACAGGATATATATGTATTTTCAGGAATTGGCAATCTGTGGTGTAGGCCTGACTCTTTTGATTTGCAGCACTGTGGAATTCAAGCAGAGCCATAAACCTCCTTTTTAGAGTCAAATATGGTTGTACCTAATTACATCTTTACCAAAGGCCCTTTTTTTCCCCTTGGATATGTGAACCACTTGTTGAGTTTTTTTTGTGGGGGGAAAAAAAAAACCCGTGTGTTTGTTTTGCTTGTTGTTTTGTTAGTCGGCTGCTAGCACCAGTAGCACCACATCGCAGTCCAAATCCATAGGAGTCAAAATCCCGACTTGTAAGATCAGCTTGAAGGACACCTTCTTAACGTCTCCCGAGGAGCTCTACCGGGTATTCGTTACTCAGGAGGTAATGCCAGGCTTGTTCTGAGAATTGTTCTTTATACATAGTAGGTTGTTCCTAAGAAGCTTTTTGAGGCATTCTGTAGGACACTCACATTCCATGAGAACGGAATAAGAAAGTTGGTCTGCAGAACAGTTGCTTAAAGCTCATGTGTGCATCTTTTCACACAGTTGACAAGAGAGGATTAATGCCAGCCAGAAGCCAGTTCCAGACTACTGTCAGCACCTATCTGTAGGTGTATGCCTTACTGCATGTGTTCCGATCTCTTGGGACGTAGTTGTATGTGCTTTTTGGTTTTTGTTTTGGTTTTTTTTTGCTTTTAAGGTTAGGTGGTGTCAAAGCATACTTCGGGAATAGCTTCCCCTCTCCTGCACGCTATTGTACAATTTAAGAAGAGAGAGCAGCATTGTGTCATTAAACATGGTCTTAGTCTTTTGTTCCTCCTTTAAAAAAAAACCCAAACAAACAAACAAAAAAAAACAAAGGAAAGAAAAAAGCAAAAAGCATGACCTTTTCTTAGAACTAGGTTTCATTAAGGAATCAAGAGAGTAAATCAAAGTGTGGCTTACAGAACACTGCATAGACTATGGAAGCTAGGGATTCTTTTCCCTTGGCAGGCAGAATGCTGCTGTAGTGGCTATAACCTTGCTCTTCTGGCCAGGGCAGGGTTTTTGTCTTTTTTTTGATGAAAACCTTACACTATTGACTTACCTCCTCTTCCACAACTTTTGTAGCTGTGTGGGAGGCATTAGGCAACAAGGTTTTGAGCAGATAATGTCAAGTAATACAATCTCCTTGATTCTTTTTAGATGGTCCAAGCTTTCACCCACGCACAAGCCGCCTTGGAGGCAGATAAAGGAGGCAAGTTTCAGTTGCTGGATGGCAGTGTCACAGGAGAGTTTGTTGATCTAGTAAGTACTAACTAGTACAGGTGTGTCTGGCTCGGGGGCAGCTTTTTTATTTTTGAGGTATGAATTCTGCAACAGTGCTTCAGTTAGCTACTTGTGGAGTTCTACCTGGTGCCCAATAGTTATCTATAATTGCTGTGGCTATTGAAGTGTTCCTTATGGTATGGATTAATGTATGGGACTTCAGTCTGGGGAGAAAATGTAGCTTCTAGTCATGTATCTGCCCAGTCTTTGTGTGCGATTTTACTAATTCATTAGGTGTTGGAGGGGTGTAATTGATAGTAACTGATCCTGTTCCTCTTTAGCCCTCCTGCTACTAAAGTCTTCTGGACAGGGACCACTGTCTCAGTGTTTGGGGCTATACTATGGCCTACCCTCCTAGAAGAGGAGTGGAAAGAAAAGGACACTTATAATCTCTTTTCTTCTGTGCGTGTGTTTCTCAAGAGGTCTCTAAGCCTTCAGATCAGCACAATTCTAGTTGTTTTGTATTAGTCTGCAGGATTTGCAAAAAAATTACTACTCAGTCTTTCTGTCTTTTTTCAAGGTCCCTGAGAAACAACTTGTTATGAAATGGAGATTTAAATCTTGGCCAGCTGGTAAGTACTCCAAAAATGGACTGTCGAATTACAGCCCTTGCAGGTGTTTGAAGAATTCTGGCCTCATTTGCCACGCTGCACTCTGGCTCGTTACTGGCGAGCATACGGTGTTCTGGGAGCTGCCCCAGCCTTATCCCAGCTTCATATGATGATCAGGTCAGAATCATCAGTCAATGCTTAGAGCAGTGACTGGGGATTAGGAATGATGAAGTAGCATCTTACTCAGCTGTGGCTGCAACTGCTTCGATCTTCATGAAGAGGGAGCCCTCTCCTCCCTCTGTTTCTGAGGAAGGGCCGCAGCTATCATAAATAGATCCTCTGGGAAGGATCCTGAGGAATCTTTTCAGTGGTGCTGTGTGAGAGGAGGAACAGGGCAGCATATACAGCTGCTCCTTGGGGCAGCATATACTATACTACACACTGCTGATGGATTTGCTTTGGTTCCTCTAGGGCACTTTGCAACAATTACCTTGAACTTCACTGACAAAGGTGGTGAGACGGAGGTGTGCTTGGAAGGCAAGGGCGTTCCTGCCAGTGAGGAGGAAAGAACAAAGCAAGGCTGGCAGCGCTACTACTTCGAGGGCATTAAACAGACATTTGGCTACGGCGCCCGCTTGTTTTAATACCGGTTGCTGGGGAGGCTCTGGCTGAAGACTCTGCCACGTGGACTGATATATTTCTCACCTGTCCCTTTCTAATCTTGGCCCTGCTGCCGAGTAAAGTGGGATGACAGGTGACAAGGAAGGCCATTGAGCAGCACCACTTTCAGTCCCTCACTGCTTTGTGCATGTCTCGTGCTGCAGGGGATTCTCTTACATGTACATACTTCTATTGCTAAATAAACCTAACTTAAAAAAACCACCGTGGAACTTGTGTCCTCAGATCAGCTTGAGTTCAAAGGGTCGGCCGATAGGCTGAGGGAGGGATCTGTGGAAAAACGCCGATCAATGGGGAGTGCTGATCCCAATGTGATTTACTCCTCACTTCTGAGCGAGTAGAGAGCACGAGCTTGATGCAGTTTTTAGTGGGAGCAGCTGCTCATTTTCTGTCTGCTTTTGATCTGCCGCTAGTAAATGTTTGAAACCCTTCCCATGTCTGAAGAGATCTAAGATGCTGTTCAAGCTATTCCTCTCCTCCCTTGCACAGCCCCTTCTTTGACACAATCCTTTCTTACACTTACACTAGCCTGCTCTACAGGAACGCTGGTGTCCAAAACAATCAGCAAACCACTGCTAGGCAAACTCCCACCCACAAAACAGTTCTAGCAGGTTGTGGGGCCCAGGGTCAGCTACCTCCAAGAGCTTCAGGCCAAAGCAAACTAGACTCTGAATGGGGGTGGGATTTATTCCTGTAAAATAAACAAGGTGCAGTGCTTCTGGCTGACCCCACTTCATCTGTTGCTTTGACTGGTGAGGAAGGGAAAACCACTTGCTTGTTCTCTGCTGCTAATACAGTTGATTCCCAGAGATGTCTTCTAAAGCAATAAACTTCTTTATAGGATAGGGGTGAAATCTAGTTCTGGACAGAAGTGTCAATCTGCTTAACCTCAAGGGTGACTGAAATGCTCAGGTTTCCCTTTGAGGCATGAGCCTCTCACATACTTGGTTTTCTGCTAGTGTTTTCTGCAGAGCACCTCTAGCAAGCTAGAAGCAAGCGATGTTACTGGGTGAGAATTACTGTTTTGGGGATTTTTTGGTGGTTTGTTTGTTTTTTTTGTTTGTTTCCTTAAATCTGAATGGCATGTAGCCCTCCTTGTCAGTAGAGGAGACAGGAAAAAAAAAAAAATTTTATTGCCCTTTAAAAAAAAAAAAATAATGTAATTGAGCGCCCTTTTAAACTATGGAGAGCATTTCTAGCCTTCTCCACTCACTATTCCAAAGTGATTATTCATGGGAAGTTGTGTATGGACATCAAGAGTGCAGTATAAAACTAAGTTCTGTATTGTGTAGTTATCCCTGTGCTGACCCGTGACTGCAAAGGAAGTTGTAGGAAGA